GATCACAAAGAAATGCCCTGATCTCAGGCAGTGCATCTCAGGGCACGTGAAGAACGGTGGACTAGGATGGTTCAGATCTAAATGTACCCAGAAGGGCCAGTTAATGGACAGAGAACAAGTCTCCTGAAATGGAAATGACCTTCCAGTCCTTGACTTCTCAAGGTCCCATGTTCTCCAATTTTCTGATGACTCGAGAGCCTGTTTAGGCAGGTATGTAGCTCCTGGTCACTGCTCTGCACTTGGGGCAGCACAACAGGGAGGGTCATCTTCATATGTGGGAATTCAGAAGGTGGAGGGAGGCTTCTGTTACAGAAAAATAAGGCGAGCCTCCTCAAGCATGACGATGCAGGCTACAAGGGCAATGTGCACATTTTTTCCACCCTCAATATTCACAAGGAAGAAACAGACAAGGAGAACAGGAACTAGGGTAATGTTTCTGACAGCCTGTGAGGGTTCAGCACCAAAGAGCTAAAATGTTCTTTGCTTGATCATGCTACTGTAAAGATGCTGCYAATAATGCAAAATTCCTTACAACGTTTGAGAAGGGTTTTTTTGATGGCTGTTTTTTCTGGTCAGATCCACCCTGAAGGCACAGTTTCAAGTGTCAAGTTTATTTTACAAAGTGAAGAACCCAGTGAGCAATCCATCACTAGTTCCTCTTTCCTCAAAAGAGGAGGTGAATCTTGAATCTAGACTTGTTCTCCTGTTAATTCCCTAGAGGAACACAATGCTACAGTACTATAGCAGCTTTTGAATAAGACTGTTTTAGAAACCGAAGGAAAATATTAGTCTTATAATTGTGTTTATATGTTTGCAGTAGCCRAGCACTAGTGCAGGATGAACAGAAAACTTACTCARTGAATCACACCAATAGGTATCAACAACTGCGATGCTTTTTAATAAAGCTTAAAACCTTATTCTAGTACAGTTTGCAAGAGGAAGAAATCTTCCTGAATAAAACGCCACTATCGGTGAGCTGGCTGTATATTCCAGTAGCACTTTGCCTTGTTTGAAGCTTGCAGAGAAGCTTGCAGAGATGGCCAATGTCATCTGAAATGCAGGTATGATCCCAAATCCAAACGTGCATCACAACCTCAGCCCTATTAGCGGGTTCCCATCTATGGGCTCAGAATCACACTCTGCCACTTTGAGGACAGACACTCTCCTCCCATGCTAGCCCAAAGCGAGGCTCTTATTGAAAATCCCAAAATAACTTCCTCCCTGTGTGGTTATGTAAAGCCTTTTTTTTTTTTTTAAATGATCTTCCAGCTCACGATTAGAATGGAAACTGTACAATAATGATGTTTCCAAAAGYGTGAAGCTCTCCCCATGAGATTCTGGAAAATATTTTGTTAAATTAGTTTCTCAGCTTCACTATAAGTCTCTTGGAAAGAAGCACAGATCGTTGGCTGGGTCTGTGCCCTTCTACCCTGGTGGAGGCTGGAACAGCCTTTCTGCTGCTAACAGCCTCAAGCAGCCCTCAATCCAGCAGTCCTTAGTCCTAAGAAAAGATTTCCTAAAATTCAAGATGAGTCTTCAGTTATACAAGCACGCACAATTCCAGCTTTAAGATCTCCAGAACAGAAAGGGGGTTGTATCATGAATGGAGAAGTAAAACAAAGCAGTTTTAAGTAACTTTCTAAAATGGGAGTAAAAGAGGAGTTTAAAAAAAAAAAAACTAATTCTCTGAAAACCTAATTCATAGAGACATTGAGTATTTTGATTTTTTTTTTTTTTACATGAAGTTAACTTTCTCTCTGAACAATAAAACACAAAACACTTAAAATATCTGTAAGTATTATATCTTTTAAATTCTTCAGTGTTCACTCTAGCCTCAATCAGGTTATGATCCAAAGTGAGTGGAAGCCTTTCCAGGGACATCAATGTGCTCCGAGTTAGGACCTCATTACCTGCAAGCGAGCATGTGTACTAAGTGAATTCAGAAAGAGTTTGTTAACTGTCTTTTTGACTTAACAATCTCCTAAGCTGGGCACTGATATATTTCTTTTTCCTTTCTGGAGGACATTTCAGAGGACACCAAAGAAAAGCATGGTTACACTGTATATTGCAAATATAATTTCCAAAAGACATAAACTGCTGGCATGCAAATGTATTACTGCTGGAGAAAAAAGTGTTGTCTTAAATAAAAAAAAAGCACCAAAAGGAAGTTATTCTAATTACAGCCTTGATTAGGAATGCATAAGCCAGAGTAAGTGTGGACACAGTGTGAAGAATCCGGCCAAGGAGCCAGAACCTCTTTCCGAGATAGGTTCAAAGCTTTCTGGACTGCATTGCAGTTGATAAATTACATCTTAACCTTAGTACTTGCACTTCTAACAGATCCACACTCCAGTGTGGTATCAATAGGGCAATCAGGGCYAGGAACACTGCTGCCACCCTACCAGTGCTCCCTCTGCTTCTGGGAGCACACAATAAGGACAGGTCTGCTGCGCAGGGGAACATTATGGGCTCTGTTGTGCAGCCCCACACCTTCATCTCTGAAGGGAAGCCCTATTAGGGAAGAACTGAGCAAGAGTTGCAGCCCACCAGCTTTAGGTAAACTTGGGCTCCCTTTCATAAACCAAATGACAGCACATCTTTACATGGACAAAGTAAGTAACACCACCCCCTCAACATTTCAGAGAGAGACTCCATTGGTCTGGAAAGCAGCTCTGCAGAGAGGGACCTGGGAGTCCTGGTTGACACCAAGTTAACCATGAGGCAGCGGTGCCCTCGTGGCTGAGAAGGCCAATGGATTCCTGGCTGCATCAGGAGGATGTTGCCAGMAGGTCAAGGAAGGGGATCCTGCCCCTCYSCTCAGCTCTGGGGAGGCCRYWYCTGGAGTATTRGGGGCAGTTCTGGGCTCCCCGGTATAAGAGGGACGTGGAGCTTCTAGAGAGGGTCCAGCGGAGAGCAACAAAGATGATTAAGGGACTGGAGCATCTCT